TAGCATACAACAGTATCAACATCACAATGTAATATGCAAAATGCATTTTGCGCCTCTGTGGTTTAGAGAAACAATGCGAAGTTTTATTGCAAAATTATGCCACAAAAATATGTGATTGCAGCGAGCAATACCCCTGCATGCATCATTCGCATATGTTGAAATGGCAGCACGGGCAGAATTCCCCACACCAGTGGCAGCAGAGATACCGTAACTGCAGCATTGGCGGCAGTGCTGGCATAGAGGGACATAAGTGAAAGGGGTAGCGGATGGAGGAAAAGCTTGACAGGGTGGGAGAAAAAGGAAGGGATGATGGCAGAAAGGATGGGAGATGGGAGCGAGGTCGGGAAAAAAATAATTGCCTCCACCACAACGGGATGTGGCACAGGAGAGAGCCGGGGCACATCAGAGAGGGGGGGGACAGCAGAGAGAGGGGGGACAGCAGAGAGGGGGGGGGCAGCAGAGAGCAGGGGGATAGCAGAGACCGGGCAGGCAGTAGAGAGGCGGGGACAGCACAGAACAGGGGGACAGCAGAGAGCGGGCTGGCAGCAGAGAGCAGGGGGACACCAGAGAGTGGGGGGATAGCAGAGAGCAGGCAGATAGCAGAGAGCGGGGGGATAGCAGAGAGTAGGCAGACAGCAGGGAGCGGGGGGGTGGCAGAGAGCAGGCACACAGCAGGGAGCGGGGGGGTGGCAGAGAGCAGGCAGACAGCAGAGAGCTGGGGGATGGCAGAGAGCAGGCAGACAGCAGAGACCGGGGGGGTGGCAGAGAGCAGGCAGACAACAGAGAGCTAGGGGATGGCAGAGAGCAGGCAGACAGCAGAGAGCGGGGGGATAGCAGAGAGCAGGCAGACAGCAAGGAGCGGGGGGATAGCAGAGAGCACGCAGACAGCAGAGAGCAGGGGGATAGCAGAGAGCAGGCAGACAGCAGGGAGCGGGGGGATAGCAGAGAGCAGGCAGACAGCAGGGAGCGGGGAGGTGGCAGAGAGCAGGCAGACAGCAGGGAGCGGGGGGGTGGCAGAGAGCAGGCAGACAGCAGAGAGCTGGGGGATGGCAGAGAGCAGGCAGATAGCAGAGAGCGGGGGGGTGGCAGAGAGCAGGCAGACAGCAGAGAGCTGGGGGATGGCAGAGAGCAGGCAGACAGCAGAGAGCGGGGGGATAGCAGAGAGCAGGCAGACAGCAGAGAGCGGGGGGATAGCAGAGAGCAGGCAAACAGCAGAGAGCGGGGGGATAGCAGAGAGCAGGCAGACAGCAAGGAGCGGGGGGATAGCAGAGAGCAGGCAGACAGCAGAGAGTGGGGGGATAGCAGAGAGCAGGCAGACAGCAGGGAGCGGGGGGATAGTAGAGAGCAGGCAGACAGCAGGGAGCGGGGGGGTGGCAGAGAGCAGGCAGACAGCAGGGAGCGGGGGGGTGGCAGAGAGCAGGCAGACAGCAGAGAGCTGGGGGATGGCAAAGAGCAGGCAGACAGCAGAGAGCTGGGGGATAGCAGAGAGCAGGCAGACAGCAGGGAGCGGGGGAACAGCAGAGAGCGGGAGGAATGGAGGGACAGGAGAGAGCAGGCAGACAGCAGAGACCGGGAGCTTGATTCCAAATATTATAGCCCTCTTACTGCCAAGCACTCCCCCTCTACCCGCCATCTATTCTCCCTCACCCTGCCCTTTGTTCCCCCTCCCCTTGCCCTTTGTTCCCCCTCTCTTTGCCCTTTCTTCCTCCTTCCCTCGCCCTCCGTTCTCTGGTCTTCCTCACCCTACTTTGCTCTCTCCTCGCTCTGTCATCCCCCTCTCGCGGCCCTCCAAACCACCAATGCTCGTCCCCCCTCTCCCAGCCCTCTCATCCGCCTTCCCTCTCCCTCTCCAACACCTCTCCTCGCCCTCGGGTGTTTTTACCCTCTTCCTCCGCCCCCCTCTCTCTAACCACTCTCCTCCCTCTCTACTTGCCCTTGGCTCCGAATCTCCTCACCCGTATCCCCCTCTCTCTGTTCCCTCAATTCAGCCCTCCCTCATCCCCTCGCACACCCCTCCTCGCCGTTGGTTAACCCTTTCCTCCCCCTCTTTTCCGCATCTCTTCCCCCTCTCATCCCCCTCCCCTCACCCTAACATCTGCATCTTCCCCCCATCTTATATGCCTTCCCTCACCCTCTCCTGCTAGTGTCTTCTCCCTCGGTTACCCCCTTTCCACTACCCCTCTCCCCACGTCCCCTCACCTTCCGTTCTCTGCCCTCCGCGCCCTCCCTTGCTCTCTTCTCGCCCTCTCTTCCCCCTCTCAAGGCCCTCCCAACCACCGTTCCCCTTCTCCCCGCCATCCGTTCCCCCTCTCCCCGCCATCCTTTCCCCCTCTCCCCGCCATCCTTTCCCCCCTTCCCCGCCATCCTTTCCCCCTCTCCCCGCCGTCATTTCCCCCTCTCCCCGCCATCCTTTCCCCCTCTCCCCGCCGTCCGCCCCCCCTCTCCTTGCCATGCGTTCCCCCTCTTCTCGCTTTCTGTTCCCCTTCACTTCGCCATTCGTCCCCCGTTTTCTCTGTGCTTTCCGTTTCCTCTCTCCTCGCCATTCGTCCCCCGTTTCCTCTCTCTCCTCCCTCTCTTCTCGCCATCCGTCCCCCGTCTCCTCTCTCTCCTCCCTCTCTCGTCGCCATCCGTCCCCCGTCTCCTCTCTCTCCTCCCTCTCTCGTCGCCATCCGTCCCCCGTCTCCTCTCTCTCCTCCCTCTCTCCTCGCCATCCGTTCCCCCTCTCGTCGCCATCTCCCGCCTCTTCTCGCCACGTGTCTTTCTCTCGTCGCCATCCGTTCCCCCTCTCCTCGCTACGCATTCCCCCGATCTTCTCGCTATCCGAGGCCCAATCCCCTTGCGGGAGTGTTTCATGGCCCGTGCCATTTAATCTCGGGCTATATACCTCCGCTAGAGTCGTGGGGCCTAATGGCGGGTTTTACAACAGTTTTGGTACGCGAACTTAGGCGGGCACTATGTCTTGTACGCTGATCTTAGCTCGTCCCAATGTGCACGTCGGTATTACGCCCAAGGTATCATTTTCTTTAGGATAAAAAACCTCCCCCTCGTAGTGCTGGGAGTTGGTCGTCGATGGGCGGGCGGTTTCCTTTTTTTGACCTGTGCTGTGGCAGCTATGGCTTCCTAAGCTTGACTGACTACGACATAATCTCCTCCTCCGAATCGTGAAGCACACCCATGGAGCTCTTGAACGACGGGTTTGAGGGTGGTAATCGCATTCGACAAATTGTGCGACATTCACACTTGTCGCACCGTGTTCCGTCGAAGTCGTTGATCAGTTTGGTGCGTCGTGGCCCTTTTGCTACGTTTCAAACTGTCGCAACATGTTTTTTTTCGTTTCGTTTGGTGTGTAGTGCTCGAGTCTGGGTCGTTTATTCTGACCCCCAAAAAGCTCAGTTTCCAAGAGCGCCCAGGGTGTGCTTTTCTAGCCTGTGGTTTTAACGAGTCTGAAATACTCAGGGTTCAGAAAGTCGACTCCGAGTCTTGCGCCCAAGTCGAATCTTGTATTTGCAGAGTTCACACCAGGGTCACAGATTCGTTTTATGGAGGCTGATTGCTCATGCTTGCCCTTATGAGAACCCATTTTTGTTAGGGTAGTTTTTATTTGATTGCCTGAAATTTCAGGCTGAATTTTCCGTAGCGCTGACGAATCAGGCCTGGGTTTTGAAACGTGCTGTATCAGTGACGATGGTTGCAGTTCGCCGCGTAATCGAAGGAAAAGTTGTGTTCTCAAGAACTGCCGAAACCCCACCAACTTGCTGTATCCGCGCAGTTTGTGCTAACGACAAATCACGTCCCTCGCGCACACCTGCTCTAGCCTTCCTCGGGCAACCAGCGTGATACACTACTTGGTTTAAGGACCAGTCACGCTCCTCATAATTGCTCCTAGGTACAGTATCTCAGACTTTTGCGTGATTTTGGTCTGATGGCCAATCACAGCCTCACACCTGCTCCGAGTATGATGAAGCATGTCGAAGGACAATGCGTGTACAGTACAGCAGCAGCGAGTTTGTCTGTGATGGGTCATTGCAAGTGTGTGATTGGTTGTTGAGGGACTTGTGCCACCCGCTTATAGGACGACACAAAAAATCAGGGGAAAGGGGGTGCGGGGAGAATGTCTCTAAAAATGGAAGACTTAGCCGATTTTTGTGGGTGTTGGGGGTGTTAGAGGGGTGTCTCTAGAATAGGACTTCAACGATTCTTATGGGCTGTTGGTTGTGCTGGGGGGAACTGTCTTTGGCTGCTAGGACTTAGCCAGATTTTATAGGTTGCGGGGGGCGGGGTGTGTGAAAGGACTTGACTCTGGCCGTTGGGGATTTGGACGCAAAATTTGGGTGAGGGCAGGTAGGTATGTATATCTCAGGGTCCGTACGCGTTGTGCTATGAAAACGCAGTATCCACAAACTGCCAAGTCTGAGATTGTCAGGATTCAAAAACATATAACCCTGAAGGGTTCAGCATTCAGAAATTGGCAAGTCTGAAAAATCAGGATCGGCAAAAAAATGGGTCTGAAATTTCAGACAATCAGACTAAAATAGTCTGATAAAATCAGGCCTGGTGCACACGCTTTTTGTTGGAGGAGCTTTAACGCGCTCACCTACCAACCGCAGGCCAACCCCCTATTCTGTCGGGTCCTCTCCCGATATCAACGGACTTCTCTACGGAAGACTAAGCAGGCAGGAACGGAGCTCTGATACCAGCTGTTATGAATTAATCAGAGTAATAACAGGTAGTGTAATAAAGGATTCGTGATTCAAGAGTGTAGATACATATGAGGGCCTAGGGTTTTAGGCACCTACAGAGCTAGCCGAGAACCACACAAACAGATTGTGGCGGTCTGCTTGGCGAAAGCCACGGAAGCGCTGCGCGTCTAGTTTTGGGCTCGCGAAATGGTTCGGGACCGAAGAAGTTGGCCGAGCCTGGACTTCCGACAATCGAGGGCGTACGCGCTGTAGTCTAGCCGAGTAAGGAAAGGGATTTTCCTTACTCTCCCACATTCCCAGCCTTCCACGCTCAGCGCAAAGGGGTGCGAGGGTCAGAGGCTGCCACATTCATTCGCCTTGCTAGTTACTTCGCATTTTCTCGCATTTTCACGCATCTTCTCGCATTTTCTCGCATTTTCACTTTGGAAATATCTCTTAGAATGGCGTCTGTCTCGCTCGCCCTTGATTGCCGCGCTGTGCTGGGCGAGTCGCCCGTCTGCAACGCACGTGGCGACGTCTGGTTCGTCGACATCAACGGTCGCAAGATCCTGGGCTACGACAGCGTGGCGAGCCGTGCGATTCGTGAAGAGGCCATTGCGACGCCGCAGCTCGTCGGATGCGTCGCACCGCGTGCGTCGGGAGGCCTTATAGCGGCGATGGAGGTGAGGCGACGGTGTTGACCTAGTAGGCTGGCCTGACCAGGCTGACTGGCTGACTGGGTTATCCGAGTGTGTGAAGGGGGGTAGAGGGTACGGAAAGGGGCATTTAAAAGAAAGAGAGGGGCAGGGGCGCATTTCAAAGGCTTTATAAGGCTGCCTAAAAGTCAATCGCTCCCTTATTGACCGGCATCCTGCTGTTTCTCCGTGTGCGTGTGCTTTTATGTGAGTGCGTGCATGCGCGTGCATTGCGTGTGTGTGCATCGACTTGTGTGCATTGCATGTGCATGTGGATGCATGTGCATGTGGATGCATGTGCATGTGGATGCATGTGCATGTGGATGCATGTGCATGTGGATGCGTGTGCATGTGGATGCGTGTTTATGTGGATGCATGTGCATGCTGTGAGCAGGACTGTATAGTAGCCGTGGACACGAGTGATGGGTGGGTCACAGACACTCTTCTGCAAATGCCATCGCAATACATCGGCCCTAAGATACGGTCAGTTGCCGAATCAAGATGGCATTTGCAGGAGAGTGTCTGTGTCTGCAGACACTCTCCTGCAAGTGCCCTAAGATACGGTCAGTTACCGAATCAAGATTCGTTTCGGTCAACGACCAAACACACGCACCTGCACAGCAACAAACGAGACACGGTCATTCCTCTCGCTCTCTTTCCACCACTCCCCACTCCCAACCTCCTCACCCCTCTCCTCCCCTTCCCCTCCCCTTTCCCCCCACCCCCCCCATATCCTCCATCTCTCCCTCCCGGCACCTCACTTGCAACAACGGCTAGTGTGACCCTGTAGGTCCCCTCTGGTGTGGCACCATGCATGCCTCATGGCATGAGTCAGCGCCCTACACTTTTCCCCCACAACCTCCCTCCCTCCTCCGCCACCCCTAATCGCACTTCACCGCTCTGTTTCAACGCCGGCTAGTGTGCAATGCGAACCCGCCAGTTGGATCCGGCCGGGCAGGCTCCATGCATGCCTCGTGGCTCCATGCATGCCTCGTGGCTCCATGCATGCCTCGTGGCTCGATTCTCACGCTCTCACCTCCCATTCCCCAACCCAACCAACGCCCCACAACACCCCTTAGTCTCTGACTCCCCGGTTCAACGATGGCAAGTGGGACCCATCTGGTCGGTTCTGGGCGGGCGCCATGCATGTGTGTCTCCTCTCCCTGCACGTCAGTATCATGACTCCCCCCCCCCCCACGGTTCTAGCGCTCCTTGCTACCCCCCTCCACCCCCCCCCCCCCCCCCCCGCCCCCCCCCCACTTCTTCCCCTCTCCCCAGTCCCCCTCCCTTCCGCCCCCCGCACCCCTCTCCATTGGTGGCAGGTTCAACGATGGCAAGTGTGACCCCTCTGGTCGGTTCTGGGCCGGCACCATGCACGCCTCGTGACATGATTCTAGCTCCCTTTTTTGTTATTTCCCATGACTCCTCCCACTCCTCAATCCAACCTCCCCCCCTCCCCCACCCCTTGGTGGCAGGTTCAACGATGGCAAGTGTGACCCCTCTGGTCGGTTCTGGGCCGGCACCATGCACGCCTCGTGGCGAGACCCCTCCGCTCCTGCTGGCCACCTCTTCTGCTTCTCCCCTGCTGCTGCTGCTGCTCCTGGTGCTGGTGCTGCTGGTGCTGGGGAGGCGGGGCAGGGGGAGGGGTTGGGAGTGGAGGTGAAGGTGGAGGGGACGCAGCTGTCCAACGGGCTCGCGTGGTCTGGGGACGGCTCACGGCTCTTCTTCATTGACTCGGCGCTCAGAGTGAGTGTGCCGGAGCATGGGGCGTGGGAAATGGGGCATAGGGAATGGGGCGGGTGTCCGTGCACTGGGCTTGGAGGCATGTGTCTATTGCATGGCCTGGGGATGGCTCACGGCTCTTCTTCATTGGCTCTGCTCTACACGAGTGAGTGTGCGTCGGGCATGCTGGCATGGGGCATGCTGGCGTGGGGCATGCTGGCGTGGGGCATGCTGGCGTGGGGCATGCTGGCATGGGGCATGCTGGCGTGGGGCATGCTGGCGTGGGGCATGCTGGCATGGGGCATGCTGGCGTGGGGCATGCTGGCGTGGGGCATGCTGGCGTGGGGCATGCTGGCGTGGGGCATGCTGGCGTGGGGCATGCTGGCGTGGGGCATGCTGGCGTGGGGCATGCTGGCGTGGGGCATGCTGGCGTGGGGCATGCTGGCGTGGGGCATGCTGGCGTGGGGCATGCTGGCGTGGGGCATGCTGGCGTGGGGCATGCTGGCGTGGGGCATGCTGGCGTGGGGCATGCTGGCGTGGGGCATGCTGGCGTGGAGAATGCTGGCGTGGGGCATGCTGGCGTGGGGCATGCTGGCGTGGGGCATGCTGGCGTGGGGCATGCTGGCGTGGGGCATGCTGGCGTGGGGCATGCTGGCGTGGGGCATGCTGGCGTGGGGCATGCTGGCGTGGGGCATGCTGGCGTGGGGCATGCTGGCGTGGGGCATGCTGGCGTGGGGCATGCTGGCGTGGGGCATGCTGGCGTGGGGCATGCTGGCGTGGGGCATGCTGGCGTGGGGCATGCTGGCGTGGGGCATGCTGGCGTGGGGCATGCTGGCGTGGGGCATGCTGGCGTGGGGCATGCTGGCGTGGGGCATGCTGGCGTGGGGCATGCTGGCGTGGGGCATGCTGGCGTGGGGCATGCTGGCGTGGGGCATGCTGGCGTGGAGAATGTTGGCGTGGGGCATGCTGGCGTGGGGCATGCTGGCGTGGGGCATGCTGGCGTGAGGCATGGTGGCGTGGGCATGCTGGCGTGGGGCATGCTGGCGTGGGGCATGCTGGCGTGGGCATGCTGGCGTGGGGCATGCTGGCGTGGGGCATGCTGGCGTGGGGCATGCTGGCGTGGGGCATGCTGGCGTGGGGCATGCTGGCGTGGGGCATGCTGGCGTGGGGCATGCTGGCGTGGGGCATGCTGGCGTGGGCGTGGGGCATGCTGGCGTGGGGCATGCTGGCGTGGGGCATGCTGGCGTGGGGCATGCTGGCGTGGGGCATGCTGGCGTGGGGCATGCTGGCGTGGGGCATGCTGGCGTGGGGCATGCTGGCGTGGGGCATGCTGGCGTGGGGCATGCTGGCGTGGGGCATGCTGGCGTGGGGCATGCTGGCGTGGGGCATGCTGGCGTGGGGCATGCTGGCGTGGGGCATGCTGGCGTGGGGCATGCTGGCGTGGGGCATGCTGGCGTGGGGCATGCTGGCGTGGGGCATGCTGGCGTGGAGAATGCTGGCGTGGGGCATGCTGGCGTGGGGCATGCTGGCGTGGGGCATGCTGGCGTGGGGCATGCTGGCGTGGAGAATGCTGGCGTGGGGCATGCTGGCGTGGGGCATGCTTGTGAGTAACTCAAGTGATGATTGTATTAGGAAAAGCGTGGGTATACATAGGTGAGGAGTAGGAGGGAGGGGGGGTTTTGGTAGGGAGGTGACCACGATTATTGGTGACCCCAATAAGTTGAGTTGGCCAACTTATTGGGGGTCCAATGATCCTAGCCAAGATTATTGGTGGGTCCAATAATCTTGGTTGGTATTATTGGGGGTTCCAATAATTGGGAGCCCAACCAATTTAGGAACTCAACAAGGTTGGGAACCCAACCCCCAACTTGGGTGTATACACCCTAGTGGGGTGCTTATAAGTACCTAAGACAACGAAACGATGTCGGCTAATAGAATGAAGGGAGAATATTCTAACACAACCCCTTAGCCTACAGAGTGCCATAAGTCTTGGGAAGGTGAGGAGAAGCAACCCCTGAATCAGGTAGTCCCCTGTGAGGGAGGGGCAAGACCCAGAAGGCGAAGGAGAGCCGCATGGGGACGACGAGGGAGGGCCTTGGTGAAGATGTCTGCAAGGTTGGCTGAAGAGTCAATCTTGCGCACGGTGAGGTGTCCAGCCTGGACGAGCTCACGAACGAAGTAGTGTCGGAGCTCGATGTGTTTGGAGCGACCATGGAAAACGGCTTCCTTTGTGAGGTGGATAGTACTGGCATTGTCGCACCAGATGGTGGGACAGGGCTGGGGAGCATCCAGCTCAGCGAGGAGGAAGCTGAGCCACCGCGCCTCCTGGGCCGCCATGGTGACGGCGTAGAGCTCTGCTTCACAGGAGGAGAGCGCGATCGAGGAGGAGCGGGTGGAGCGCCAGGAAATGAGGCCGTTCCCGAGGGAGAAACCATACCCCTGTGAGCTGCGACGATCGGGCTGAGAATCCGCCCAAGAGGAGTCGCTATAGCCAGTGAGCTGAGGAGGGGTGGGGCCACCCAAGGTGAGGACATAGTCCTTGGTGCCTTTGATGTAGCGGAGAACACGCTTGGCCGCTTGCCAGTGCTCGGGAGTGTGTTTGCCAGCGCTGACAAAGCGCGCCAAGACACTGATAGGGTAGGCGAGGTCGGGGCGAGTGCACATCATGTCGTACATCAGGGACCCGACCAGCTCAGCGTAAGGACTGGTGGAGGAACCGTGGGTAGATGTCGACGAGAGCTGGTGGCCGACTTGGAGGGGTGTGGAGACGGGTTTGGCCGTGGCCATCTCGAAGCGTTCAAGGACCTTCTCGAGGTAGAATGTCTGAGAGAGGGAGATGGTCCTGGCCGCACGATCGCGAGAAATCTCCATCCCGAGGTAGCTGCGGACCTCCCCTAGGTCCTTGAAGAGGAGGCGCTTCTGCAGCTCATCCTTGACCTGTTGTAGGTCTGCTTCATTGCCAGCGGCAAGAAGCATGTCGTCGACGTAGACGAGGATGTAGAAGGGGGAGGGGGAGGTGCGCAGGAAGAGGCAGGAGGAAGCCTGGGAAGGGCGAAAACCAAGAGCACGGAGAGTGCTCGAGAGCTTGGCATGCCATTCCCGAGGAGCTTGCTTGAGGCCGTAGACCGGGCGGCGAAGTTCTCAAACGGTGTTGGGAGGGAAAGGGAGGTGCCAGCGCTCGGGACGCTCCATGAAGATGTGCTCATGGAGTTCACCTTGGAGAAATGCCGTGGTGACATCCTGTGAGGCGTGACATGCTGTGTGACATGCTGGCGTGGGGCATGCTGGCGTGGGGCATGCTGGCGTGGAGAATGCTGGCGTGGGGCATGCTGGCGTGGGGCATGCTGGCGTGGAGAATGCTGGCGTGGGGCATGCTGGCGTGGGGCATGCTAGTGTGGGGCATGCTGGCGTTGGGCATGCTGGCGTGGGGCATGCTGGCGTGGGGCATGCTGGCGTGGGGCATGCTGGCGTGGGGCATGCTGGCGTGGGGCATGCTGGCGTGGGGCATGCTGGCGTGGGGCATGCTGGCGTGGGGCATGCTGGCATGGGGCATGCTGGCGTGGGGCATGCTGGCGTTGGGCATGCTGGCGTGGGGCATGCTGGCGTGGGGCATGCTGGCGTGGGGCATGCTGGCATGGGGCATGCTGGCGTGGGGCATGCTGGCGTGGGGCATGCTGGCGTGGGGCATGCTGGCATGGGGCATGCTGGCGTGGGGCATGCTGGCGTGGGGCATGCTGGCGTGGGGCATGCTGGCGTGGGGCATGCTGGCGTGGAGAATGCTGGCGTGGGGCATGCTGGCGTGGGGCATGCTAGTGTGGGGCATGCTGGCGTTGGGCATGCTGGCGTGGGGCATGCTGGCGTGGGGCATGCTGGCGTGGGTGGGGCATGCTGGCGTGGGGCATGCTGGCGTGGGGCATGCTGGCGTGGGGCATGCTGGCGTGGGCCATGCTGGCGTGGGGCATGCTGGCGTGGGGCATGCTGGCGTGGGGCATGCTGGCATGGGGCATGTTGGCGTGGGGCATGCTGGCGTGGGGCATGCTGGCGTGGGGCATGCTGGCGTGGGGCATGCTGGCGTGAGGCATGGTGGCGTCGGTCATGCTGGCGTGGGGCATGCTGGCGTGGGGCATGCTGGCGTGGGGCATGCTGGCGTGGGGCATGCTGGCGTGGGGCATGCTGGCATGGGGCATGCTGGCGTGGGGCATGCTGGCGTGGGGCATGCTGGCGTGGAGAATGCTGGCGTGGGGCATGCTGGCGTGGGGCATGCTGGCGTGGAGAATGCTGGCGTGGGGCATGCTGGCGTGGGGCATGCTAGTGTGGGGCATGCTGGCGTTGGGCATGCTGGCGTGGGGCATGCTGGCGTGGGGCATGCTGGCGTGGAGAATGCTGGCGTGGGGCATGCTGGCGTGGGGCATGCTGGCGTGGGGCATGCTGGCGTGGAGAATGCTGGCGTGGGGCATGCTGGCGTGGGGCATGCTTGTGAGTAACTCAAGTGATGATTGTATTAGGAAAAGCGTGGGTATACATAGGTGAGGAGTAGGAGGGAGGGGGGGTTTTGGTAGGGAGGTGACCACGATTATTGGTGACCCCAATAAGTTGAGTTGGCCAACTTATTGGGGGTCCAATGATCCTAGCCAAGATTATTGGTGGGTCCAATAATCTTGGTTGGTATTATTGGGGGTTCCAATAATTGGGAGCCCAACCAATTTAGGAACTCAACAAGGTTGGGAACCCAACCCCCAACTTGGGTGTATACACCCTAGTGGGGTGCTTATAAGTACCTAAGACAACGAAACGATGTCGGCTAATAGAATGAAGGGAGAATATTCTAACACAACCCCTTAGCCTACAGAGTGCCATAAGTCTTGGGAAGGTGAGGAGAAGCAACCCCTGAATCAGGTAGTCCCCTGTGAGGGAGGGGCAAGACCCAGAAGGCGAAGGAGAGCCGCATGGGGACGACGAGGGAGGGCCTTGGTGAAGATGTCTGCAAGGTTGGCTGAAGAGTCAATCTTGCGCACGGTGAGGTGTCCAGCCTGGACGAGCTCACGAACGAAGTAGTGTCGGAGCTCGATGTGTTTGGAGCGACCATGGAAAACGGCTTCCTTTGTGAGGTGGATAGTACTGGCATTGTCGCACCAGATGGTGGGACAGGGCTGGGGAGCATCCAGCTCAGCGAGGAGGAAGCTGAGCCACCGCGCCTCCTGGGCCGCCATGGTGACGGCGTAGAGCTCTGCTTCACAGGAGGAGAGCGCGATCGAGGAGGAGCGGGTGGAGCGCCAGGAAATGAGGCCGTTCCCGAGGGAGAAACCATACCCCTGTGAGCTGCGACGATCGGGCTGAGAATCCGCCCAAGAGGAGTCGCTATAGCCAGTGAGCTGAGGAGGGGTGGGGTCACCCAAGGTGAGGACATAGTCCTTGGTGCCTTTGATGTAGCGGAGAACACGCTTGGCCGCTTGCCAGTGCTCGGGAGTGTGTTTGCCAGCGCTGACAAAGCGCGCCAAGACACTGATAGGGTAGGCGAGGTTGGGGCGAGTGCACATCATGTCGTACATCAGGGACCCGACCAGCTCAGCGTAAGGACTGGTGGAGGAACCGTGGGTGGATGTCGACGAGAGCTAGTGGCCGACTTGGAGGGGTGTGGAGACGGGTTTGGCCGTGGCCATCTCGAAGCGTTCAAGGACCTTCTCGAGGTAGAATGTCTGAGAGAGGGAGATGGTCCTGGCCGCACGATCGCGAGAAATCTCCATCCCGAGGTAGTTGCGGACCTCCCCTAGGTCCTTGAAGAGGAGGCGCTTCTGCAGCTCATCCTTGACCTGTTGTAGGTCTGCTTCATTGTCAGCGGGAAAAAGCATGTCGTCGACGTAGACGAGGATGTAGAAGGGGGAGGGGGAGGTGCGCAGGAAGAGGCAGGAGGAAGCCTGGGAAGGGCGAAAACCAAGAGCACGGAGAGTGCTCGAGAGCTTGGCATGCCATTCCCGAGGAGCTTGCTTGAGGCCGTAGACCGGGCGGCGAAGTTCCCAAACGGTGTTGGGAGGGAAAAGGAGGTGCCAGCGCTCGGGACGCTCCATGAAGATGTGCTCATGGAGTTCACCTTGGAGAAATGCCGTGGTGACATCCATCGAGTGTAGGATCATGCCGCGCCGGCCGACGAAGTCCAAGAACACGCGGACAACAGGGGGAGTGGCGGTCGGCGAGTAGGTGTCAAGGAAGTCATGGCCGTACCGTTGCGTGAATCCTTTGGCGCAGTAGCAGGCCTTATAGATCGGGCATGCTGGCGTGGGGCATGCTGGCGTGGGGCATGCTGGCGTTGGGCATGCTCGCGTCGGGCATGCTGGCGTCGGGCATGCTGGCGTCGGGCATGCTGGCGTCGGGCATGCTGGCGTGGGGCATGCTGGTGTGGGGCATGCTTGCGTCGGGCATGCTGGCGTCGAGAATGCTGGTGTCGGGCATGCCGGCGTTGGGCATGCTGACGTCTGGGATGCTGGCATGGGGCATGCTGGCGTGGGGCATGCTGGCGTCGGGCATGCTGGCTTCGGGCATGCTGGCGTGGGGCATGCTGGCGTCGGGTATGCTGGCATGGGGCATGCTGGCGTCGGGCATGCTGGCGTTGGGCATGCTGGCGCTGGGCATGCTTGGGGGAGGGGATGCTGGCGTCAGGCATCCTGGCGTCGGGCATGCTTGGCGTCGGGCATACTTGCGTTGTGCATGCTTGCGTCGGGCATGCTGGCGTCGGGCATGGTGGCGTCTGGCATGCTGGCGTCGGGCATGCTGGCGTCGGGCATGCTGGCGTCGGGCATGCTGGCTTGGGGCATGCTGGCATCGGGCATGCTGGCGTGGGGCATGCTGGCGTGGGGCATGCTGGCGTGGGGCATGCTGGCGTGGGCCATGCTGGCGTGGGGCATGCTGGCGTTGGGCATGCTGGCGTCGGGCATGCTGGCGTGGGGCATGCTGGCGTGGGGCATGCTGGTGTCGGGCATGCTGGCATGGGGCATGCTGGCGTGGGGCATGCTTGCGTCGGGCATGCTGGCGTCGGGAATGCTGGTGTCGGGCATGCTGGCGTTGGGCATGCTGACGTCTGGGATGCTGGCATGGGGCATGCTGGCGTCGGGCATGCTGGCGTTGGGCATGCTGGCGTGGGGCATGCTGGCGTGGGGCATGCTGGCGTGGGCATGCTGGCGTGGGGCATGCTGGCGTCGGGTATGCTGGCATTGGGCATGCTGGCGTCGGGCATGCTGGCGTTGGGCATGCTGGCGCTGGGCATGCTTGGGGGAGGGGATGCTGGCGTCAGGCATCCTGGCGTCGGGCATGCGTGGCGTCGGGCATACTGGCGTTGGGCATGCTTGCGTGGGGCATGCTGGCGTCGGGCATGGTGGTGTCGGGCATGGTGGCTTGGGGCATGCTGGCTTGGGGCATGCTGGCGTGGGGCATGCTGGCGTCGGGCATGCTGGCGTCAGGCATGCTGGCGTGGGGCATGCTGGCGTGGGGCATGCTGGCGTCGGGCATGCTGGCGTGGGGCATGCTGGCGTCGGGCATGCTGGCGTGGGGCATGCTGGCGTCGGGCATGCTGGCGTCGGGCATGCTGGCATCGGGCATGCTGGCGTCGGGCATTCTGTCATGGGGCATGCTGACATGGGGCATCGTCCGTGGGGCATGGTGCGTGGGGCATGGTGCGTGGGGCATGGGGGCCGTGGGGCATGGGGTGTGGGGCATTGTGCGGGGGGCATGGGGCCTGGGGCGTCGGGTATGGAGCGTGGGCAGCGTGCTGGGACTCGAGTTAGGGAGAGTGAGCTGGGGGCGTCACTTGCTGGGTTGCATTGCAAGGCAGGTCAAAGTTCAAGCGAGTTACAGAGTTCCCTCACTAGGGCTCTTGCCCGGGCTCTGTGAGGACAGGTGAGTTGGAGGCGTGTCTTGCTGGAGCCTCAGCGAGGGAGAGCAAGGTGCGGGCTTAGATTGGCGCAGTTCAGACTCGCCCACAACACGTGTCTGCTCTGATGTGTGTCAATTTGAGCCTGTTCCTCACTCTTCCTTCCCGAGGCTCCAGCAAGGGATGCTTCCATCTCTCACTCCCCCTAACTCGAGTCCCAGCAACGAACCCGTACCTTAGTCCCCCCCTTTCATCCCATACATCCTGTATAAACCCTATGTCCCCCTGTCACCGTGGGCTTATCCATGCATCTCTGCAGACTGTGGACTGCTTTGACTAGGATGCAGCCACGGCGGCCATCAGCAAGCAATCCGTTAGTTAGCCCCCCAAAACAGCCCATCTATCCCCATAGAATCGCTATGCCCCCATGCATGCATCTGTGCAGACTGTGGACTGCTTTGACTACGACACCGCCATGGCGGCCATCAGCAAGCAATCCGTTAGTTAGCTCCCCAATACATCCCATCTATCCCCAAATAACCTATATGCCCCCATGCCCCCATGCATGCATCTGTGCAGACTGTTGACTGTTTTGACTACGACGCAGCCACGGCAGGGATCAGCAACCGCCGCACTGTGGTCACTTTCGGACAGGACGAGCCAGGTCAGTGGGATGGGGGGAAGTGGGAGGACGACCAACGTCGGTGGAATGGGGGGAAGGGGAGGGAATGGGGGGAGAGTGGGAAAAGGGGGGAAGGGGGGGAGAATGTTGGGAGAGTGGGAAAAAGGGGGGGAATGGGGGGAGAGTGGGAAGGGCTTTGGGAAGGCGTCGTGGTGGTGGGTGGGTAAGGATGTAGCCAGCCACCAGGAACAGTCACGCCGGAGTTTCTTTTGTGAGGTACTCGAAGAAGAAGCGGCTGGCGCAGTGCTTTCAGCTTTGGCCAGGACGAACTGGGAGGGGGGAAGTTGGGGCTAGGTGGGGGGGATAGAGTGGGGAGGGTTGGAGAAAGGAAGGGACATGACGGGTAGGGGGGACGAGAAGCAGGCAGCCATGGGGTAACCAGCCATGGGAGCACCAGCCATGGGAGCACCAGCCATGGGAGCACCAGCCATGGGAGCACCAGCCATGGGAGCACCAGCCATGGGAGCACTAGCCATAAAATAACCAGCCAGCCATGGGGGCACCAGCCATGGGGGCACCTCGCATTTGCCCTTAGAGAGGACGAGCTCAGGTAAGGGGGGAGTGGGGCATCGTGGTGACAGGGGTGGGGGGGAGTTTGGGAGAGGGGAGGAGAGAGAAGGGAGGGAGGAAGGGAGGGGGGGGGAGGGAGGAGAGGGGAGGAAGGTGGCTGGTTTGGTGGAAATGTGGGAATGGGGTGGAACGCCGAAAATGGTTCGGACTTGAGTTGTGCGGAGATCACTCAGTTCTCTATCGAGGTCTTTCGCTGTTTCATCCATATGGCCTGTCCATTAACGCCCGAGTCTCAAAATTGCAAGTGTAAAACTTGTGGTACCCCAGTTACACGGGAAGGACAGGCTAGGGAAAGCCACAGCCTGAATGCGAAGAGTAGGGGGGCTGACCAAGCGTAAAACCAGCAGAAGAAGTACGAGATTTTTTAGTCGACTAAAAAATCACCTGAGTGCGAAGAGTAGGGGGGCTAACCAAGCGTAAAACCAGCAGAAGAAGTACGAGGTTGAGCAAGTTCACGGATTGCAGGGACTCTAGGCTGTTGGATTGTTCCAAGGTTCTGATCTAACGGTTCAGTTCCTGGGAATTTGAACCGACCGCTTAGGACGAAGTGAGAACTTTGGAATGCGGAAAGTTGGAATCGCCACCGTTGGATCAGCAAGCTGCTGGGTTCAACGTGTCAAACCTGCCGTAACCCAACCTTCGTCGATCCTGGTTTAGTTTGGTTTGCGTTTTTTGCCGAAACAATAAGGTCGCGCTACCTGCATTTCGCTCTTGTCCACCTTTTCGTTCCTCGCCCCCCAATCCAAGTCTGCCTTTCCCAACCAAGTGTAAAACGTTTGTAGTTCTGAGACGCGGGCAGGTGGTCGCCTAGACAGGCAAGGATATCTCAAGGTTTCGCCTCCCCACCTCCTCCAACCCCCTTCTCCCTCCCCCTCTCAGGCGTGCCTGACGGCATGGCGATAGACGCGGGGGGCCACCTGTGGGTGGTGGTGGGGGAGAGCGGCAGTGTGAGGCAGATGGACGCCGAGACAGGCAAGGAGATCACTAGGGTGGGCCTTCCCGTGGTGCGACCTACCTCCTGCGCCTTTGGAGGTAGGTGCTCACTGCGTGTGTTGGTGGTAGGTGCCTCTGTGTGTGTCGGTGGGTGGTGGTGGGGGAGAGCGGCAGTGTGCGGCAGGTGGACGCTGAGACAGGCAAGGAGATCACTAGGGTGTGCTCTCTGTGTGTCTGTGTGTGTGGGGTGGGTTTGTGTTGTGTGTGGGGTGGGTTTGTGTTGTGTGTGGGGTGGGTTTGTGTTGTGTGTGTGGGGTGGGTTTGTGTTGTGTGTGTGGGGTGGGTTTGTGTTGTGTGTGTGGGGTGGGTTTGTGTTGTGTGTGGGGTGGGCTTGTGTTGTGTGTGTGATGGGAGGGGTCAGGGAGAGAGAGGGAAAGAGGAGAGTTCTACAAGCCGTAGAACTCGCCCTCACCACCATCTAATTTCGAATCCTGTTGCACGAGATTGTTGTTACAGCCGTCTTCATTTGGATGATAATGCCTGACTGGAAGGTTGATGCGTGGAAGCAAAGAGACGGGTGAGGTGAGACCTAGAGGTGAGACCTAGAGGTGAGACCTGAAGGTGAGCCCTAGAGGTGAGCCCTAGAGGTGCGCCCTAGAGGTGAGCCCTAGAGGTGAGCCCTAGAGGGGAGCCCTAGAGGTGAGCCCTAGAGGTGAGCCTGAGGAGGCAGAATTCCATGTTTCAAGTCTGGGCTTGCGTGGGCAGTTGCACCAGCCTGATATTAGCCGCATATCAATTGTGCTGTTTTTTCTTCCTTCTTTCCTTCTTTCTTTCGTTATTTCTTTCTTTCTTTCTTACTTTCTTTCTTTCTTTTTCTTGCTATTCTCCTGTGTCTCAGGCAAAGACCTCTCAGAGCTGTATGTGACAACACGAGAAGAGCCAGGTGGGCGAAGCAAACTCTGCTGCCATGCATTCGTGTGTGAATAAGCTCATATTCTATCCAGACGAGTGCATGTGTCTGGACCTGGATGTTGTTTGCTGCTCCCGACATTCCAAACGGTGTGCTCACTGTTTTGAAAAGCGCTTCAGTTCACCTCTCTAATGAGGATGTCATCCCGCTCATCCTGCTCTTCCTGCTCATCCTGCTCATCCTGTGCTATGGTAATGTCTCCTCTATCTCCCTCTTATCCCTCACTCATTTCCTTTACCCACTGCACTTCAGTTCGACTTCATCAGAAATGTCCAAACACACGAATTGCAATGCCCCTAGGTGTTTTTTGAGTCGACTAAAAAATCACAAGCATTGTATTGCCCCTCCCAGCTGTCTGGCCTTGCCATCCCTCCTCCCTCCTTCAATCATGGTGCAGGGACAAATCCATCAGCAAACGCAGGGGGTCTCTTCAAGTGCCTCGTGCCTGGAGTCAAGGGCTTGTCATTTGCTGATGCCTTCTGTGGTTGATGGGATGGGATGGGAGCACAACCATCTCAGCATTAGCAGCAACAGCAGATTGGGTTGGCAACGTGTAGGTAGCAGCAGCTGCAGCCGTTGTAAAAAGCAACGGGTGCCATCATGCCATGCCATGCCATGACATGACATGATCAGCAGCATGCATGCATTCGCTCATCAGGTGCCTCAGAAGGGTGACTATCAAAGTGAATGAATAGATTAGAATACGAGGACACCAGGATATATAGCCTAGGGTGTTGTACTCTCTATGGTCTGACCCTATGTAGTCTACAAAACATACACATGTTTGACACACCCCCTGGACTAGATAGGGGCAGTGCCTGGGGAGACAAGCAGCTCAGGGTGGCACTACTAGTCCAACCTTTGAGGCAGGGTCCTAAATAGCAGACTTTTTTTTGTCTGATTGTCTGATTTTCAGACTGGTTTTAGGGGTTTCTCTGATTTTTCAGACAGGGGCTTTCAAAAACTCTGATTGGACTATACAAACTTTTGAAGATTTCTCTGAAATTTTCAGACTAGGTGTACCAGTTTCTCTGATTTTTAGACAAGTGTTCTGAGTTTCTCTGAAACAAGGACATACAGGTGTAAGGTGCTCCCATGCGAATATTCCCTTTTTCGCGTCGCCACACATTGTCCCCCCTCCATATCCTTGGCATACGTGAGCCTTCCCGAGCCTTCTATGGCAACATCTGATGTGGCTAGAGCACATGTGACTGGATACTTTACGGTATTGCAGAAAAGCAGACCAGTCAGAGGCCTTTGCGGCGCGTTACTTGGGTCTGCAGCGCACAGTGGGGATCAGACCATGCCTCACCCCATGCAGTGAACTTGCTGCAGCATACGTGCACCGCTGTACGTCATCCCGCCCATCACGACGCGTCGCCCCGCCCATCGTCTCGTCACTTGCCAGTCCGTGCCGCCATGGCACTTGACCAAGAAACCCCCTCCCCAACCGCTTCGTGCTCCCTTCGTCTCCACCTGTTTCTTCCATCCACTTCTCTTACATTCTAGTGTTGATGTCGTGCGTTGTGTTCTTCTGCTCGTGTTCTGTTTCAGGTTTAGATTCCCCTCTCGAAGTAGGGCCAACATGGCTGTCGTTGTCGAGGCTGACGGCGATGATCAGCCAGAAGGGTGTAGCGAATCCCGGCCTCCCATGCGAGGCCTAGACTTCCTGCGTTCAAAGCTGTCGCGCATCCCTGCTGCAGATACCTCCCGTCGCCTAGCCGCTATCGACCCTATGCTTGCGCCTTCCTCAGCCGAGCCCTCGCCATGGCCCGTGCCACTAGCATCCCCTCCTTTGTCGCCTGCACGTTCGTCCAGCCCGTCCTTACCTCAGCCCTCGCAGTCGCCCACACCATCGTCGGCGGTCCGCTTGGAAATCGATGCCGAAGCATCAGCTCGCTCCTCCGCCAAGAAGCGAAAGTATCGGCAGGCTTCTCTGCCGTGGTTCAAGGGCGACACATCCAAGGCTCCTGACTCTGCACCGAGTTCAGCGCCCGGCCCCTCTTCCGCAGAAGATATGGAGGACGATGATGCTGACGACGAGGAGGAGGACGCAGAAGCAGCCGAGCCGCTGAAGGTCGCTAAAGCACGTGAGGCAGAGCTGAAACACAAGTTTGAAACCGAGTGGTCGAAGAAGTTTCCGTGGCTCGTCCTCACCAAGACCGATCTTGGTCGCCCGTCCATCAAGTGCAGCATCTGCACGGCGCACCGGTCGGAGAACTGCAAGTACGGCAAAGGCGGACAGGGCGGAGCAGACATCCAGGTGCAGACGATGCGCAAGCACCAGCGTACGAAGAAGCACCAGGCCGCTGTTGAGAAAAAGGAGGCTAAGGAGAGGGCCGAGACGAAGCAGAAGCGCATCGAGGATTTCTCGAATGGCGATGTCGAAGGTAGACGTATCATTCGGTTGTTGATGGCGATGTTATTCATCTGCAGAACTGACGCACCGATCTTGATGTATGTTTCTCTGGTGAACTTCATGGCCTCGCAGGGTACGCCGGACTTGGGCGAGAGCAACTACGGCACCTACCACACAGAGTTAGTTTTTTGGATTTCGCAAATCTCCCATTGTTCGAACCGTTAGAGTCATCTAATGCTTCTCGTTGCTTGCCATGTGTTGCAGGTACAGATTCAGGCAGCTGACAGAGGCGACGGCGAATTACCTTCGGCAGAAGCAGCTCGAGCACATCCTGAAGAGTCATTTCATCGGTCTCAGCGTCGACGAAAGTACCGATCGACGGCGCGGCAAGCACTTAATTGTCTACGTGACATTCGTGAAGAACGACAGGGTTGTCACTGAGTTCTTTGCCTTACTCACTGTGCATAAGTGCGATGCTGGATCCCTCTTAGCCATTTTGCAGACCCATCTCGAATCGGCAAGTGTCGACATCAATAAGGTTTCAGGCATCAGTACGGATGGGGCCAGCGTCATGAGGGGGGATCGACAGGGTCTGGTCGCCCGCCTTCGGCAGCTCGTGCCGCACCTCGTCTCTGCTCACTGCATTGCTCACAGGTGAGGCGTAGTGCAGCACCACTTCCTTGGCAGGTTTCTCGACTTCATCGACTAGTTCTGATTTATGTTTCGTGGTTTTGATGTATGATGTTCCGTGTTTGAGTAGGGAGGCTTTGGCAGCTAAGGACGCTGCCAAGAAGTTTCCCGACTTCAACATGATCGACGACATCATCAGGATGCTGGCCGAGATTTTGGGACGCTCCTCAGTGTGGCACGACCGCTTCAGAGAGCTGCAGGAGATCTTGATGAAGACCTTCCTGGAGATGCAGTCTATCTTCGCCATCCGCTGGCTTTCACGCGCCGAGGCAATACTCCGCTTGGTCGCAGTTCTTCCCGCTGCCACCCTGCTGCTGCACGAGTACGACCGGGATTCATACAAGGTTGCAAGGGGCTATAAATTCCACTTCTGCCTCTTCTTCCTTGCCGACCTGTTGACAGAGCTCAACCGGCTTAACAAGAAGTTTCAGCGTCGCCAGGTAACGTATACGCTAACGCTTCAGATCGCGCACATACTTTCGATCGCGCACATGCACGTTCTATGCTGGGCTAAACATGCCTTGGCTATGTGATTTTCTCGTGCTACTTGCAAGTCGACATCACCAGGGTGGGAAGCATGGTGCAGAGCACCACCGAGGTGATTCGCGCACGGTACATCAACTGCGACTCTTCTTTCGGCGGCCCCAGAAGCAAGCACCTGCACAAGTTCTTGACATCCCATGAGCCTGAAGGTCGTGTGGTCGTCGAGGGGGAGGCGAAGGATGGCGAGCCGGTCCGCCACGGGTACATCCTTCACACGAAGTCGATTTCGGAATCGGAGTTCAAGAGCGACAAGAAGTCTTGCATTGTGTTGTGCCGTGCCATGGCCCAAGAGACGATCGACTGCATCGAGTCAAGGTTCAGCGACCTGCAGCAGCTCGGAGGAACCAAGCTTTTTCTCTCAAGCGCCTATCCCACTGCGCGATCGAACCGCGAGAAGAAAGCGCTTGAGTGGCTGGCGCTTCTGAAAAAGTTATTCAACAACAAGCCCATGCCTGGTAAGTTCTCTAGACCAACATACTTTTCCAAGTGCTTTTCTGGATTACCCTTCTAATGTTTACTTAGTGTGCCTGTTATCTGAGTGCGATGCCATGCGTTATACTCACACTTTGCTGATTCCCTCCCCTCGCAATGTACCCCCCCCCTCCCCCTCCCAGGCGTTAGCTGGAAGCGCGCCAAGGCAGAGCTGGCCTCATTCGTCAACATCATGGACGCGCATCACGGGGAGATGGCGTACCACGTCAGCCTGCGGCACATGCTGGGGACACGCGACTGGGAAGATGCCTATCCCAATCTTGTTAAGATTTGGGTGGCAACCGCCGTGCTCCCGTTAAGCACAATGGAGTGCGAGCGGGGATTTTCCCTCCAGAACGTCATTAAGAGCTCGTCTCGGGGCAACCTCTGTGATGCCCGCTTGGGCGACCTTGTGTGCATCTCCCTCCTGCAGGATTACGACATGCAGTGGGATGAGATCGTTGACATGTGGAAGGCCGCCAAGCCAAGGCGGCCTAGCCAGGATGCAATTGCCCCCATTCTTGCCCCAATGTCCAAGAAGAAGAAGAGCAAGGCCGAGGCAAAGAAGAGAAGGAAGATCGCAGAGCTCGAGGCTCAGATCAGGAAGTGGAAGGGGATGGCTGTGGTTGAGGAGTATGGGCTGGAGGAAGGAGAGGTGGAAGAGGAGGTGGAGGAGGAGGTAGAGGAGGAGCTTACGGAATTTAATGATGACGAGGAGTAGGTAGCGAAAATGTAGGGAGGGAGGGAATGGCCATCTGCCTGCATGCTCGTTCGTTTGTAACTTGCAAGTAGTACTAACTTAATCAAAGTGCTAAACTGTATTTTCCATTGTCACACACAATAACAGACTATGCAGTAGAATTTCTCTGTATTTTCAGACAAAGATTCTCAAATTCTCCGGAAAATCAGACAAGGTTTTCAAAATTCTTTGATCCTGAAGAGCGCATCAGACAAAGTGCGCAGAACGTGTCTGATTGCTCAGACACGTTTTTTTCCGAAAGAGAACCCTGCTTTGAGGCAAGGGTCTAGAGACCACTCAATAGAGTACAAAGAATAAGCATTTCTGTAAGTAGTTCCGATAGATATTGTCGAGTTACACTATAGTTACCATCCGTAGAATGACGTCAGCGAATAGCGCTCGTCTGGATGATTACGTCAGCAAGCCGTTCCAGTCACGCGAACAGTCGCGCTCTTTTCAGTAGCGGTTAGAGCGCATAGCACAAATAGTTCGAACGGATACATCACTGAATAGGTACTTCTAGCAGATATAAAAGTAGCTTGTACAACTTCAATTGTCAACTTGTTCTTCAGTAAATTCTGGTCAACACTTTACAAGATCTAAGACTTCCGCTGCAGGGCTTATTTTATCAGAGTAAATCACTATGATTCTCTGAAAATCAGAGTCGTTTTTGAAAACCACTCTGATGGTCCTGGGTAAAATTTTGAAAGTATATATTTTCTCTGATTTATCAGAGTTGGCCTATGTACCACCCTGAAGAGTTTTCAATCGGGGGGATGCTCCTAGATTTTTCCCTGTTCTCTCGGTATTCGGTTAAGTCCTCCGACTGCCAATCACACCCCTCCCATACCCCACTTACCCTGGATAATTTTGGGTAAGTCCTTCGCAACTGGTCACATCCCGCCTCATACCCGCCGTAACCTGGAAAATTTCGGCTAAGTCCTCTGTAGCCAGTCACAACACATTTATACCCCACGCAACCCAGGCACATTCCTCCTTCCCACACCCAACCCGTCCTAGCCCAGCTGTGTTCAGTGCTGTTTGACTGGCCCTTACCGTCAATCACGCTACATTTCACGTGTGTAACTTGGCACGGGGTTGACACGTAAACATTGCAGCAAATGCGATTGGTACAGCACATGCGCCAGCCAATCACTGGCGTATTGTTTCTGTAC